ATAAGGTCCAACTTCTCTTTTTACTCTAAAGTAGACCTGCACAACATATGGCCCAGGGGATGCATGCAGCCTGGCAAAGGATTTTGAGTGGGCCACAAGGATGTGCAATAACTTCAAGGCTCCTCCACTGCTTGGTCTTCTGAGGAGAGGGCCATGCAGAGGAGGAAGAAGAAGGCCAAACATTCACCCTGCAAGTCTCCTCTGCTGCTCGGCTTTCTCCTGAGGAAAAGGCCAGGCAACAGTGAGGAAAGTGGGCAAATGCTTGCCCTGGTATTGGCAGAAGAGGAGGCTGGGTGAACACTTGCAATACTCCTCCACTGAGAAGGCCAGGTGGAGGAGGACAGGCAAACGCTTGTCCCTTAGGGCTCTTCCACTGCCCAGCTTTCTCCTGAGAAGGAGGAGGAGGACAGGTGAACTCTTGCCCTAAGGAAAGAGCAAGACAAAGGAGGAGGTGGTACAGAATTAATACTATTAATTATTACAAATTAATAGAAATAGAGTTGTCTTAAGTAGAGACTGGTAGGGGTTGCAAACAGGAGGGGGAAGGAGGGAGAAGTTCAACTAGCCACCATGATCATGCAGTCTTTCCTTCTTTGCCTCTTGCCCCCTGAATTTAACCAGTTGACACTTACAATTACAGTACTGCTGTAAAAGTAAGCCAAGACTTAGGTTTTTAAAAAACCTTTCTGGGTTCTCAAAAACATCCACTTCAAAACTACATCTGAAATGATTCCAGTTTCAAAACCTGAAGTTCTGAAACAATCATGAATTCATAACAGTTAAGTTCTATTCCTTTTGGAATTCATTTGAGGTATCCACCTGTTTAAAAGTAGTTCACATTGCCTTTACAAAAGTAATCCAGACCCTACTTGTATGTCAGAAGTTTATGCATGTAGGAGAAGAGAAAAAGAAAAAGGTAGGAAAGGGGTTGACTTTGCTAGAGTTCAGCTTGCATTTTACCCAGAAGGCTTAGTTCTCATGAAAATTTCTTACTTAAAATATGTTTTCATTTAAAGACCAATAGGGCTATAAACTCAGAAGCATCTCAGGAATGTTAGGGAATGAAATCATGTTTTAAAGAGAGATGAGGTATTTGGGTTGCCAGCCATGTGCTCTGGAGAAGATACCTACTTAGGAATCAAATGGTTAGTGGCTTACCACCATATCCTTGTCAGTCAGGTATAGGGAATTCTGTGGTCCTCCAGGTATCATTAGAGTGAAACCCCTACTATCCCTCAAATTAGCTATGATATCTTGGGCTGATGACACTTGTGGTCCAACAACATCTGGAGGACCACAAATTGCCCACTACTGTTTAAATAAATATGAATGACTTGCTGAGCACAGATACACCTAAGTCACCTGAAGAGCTCTACTTCACTGTTAATATAATATTTTGTTTTAAAGGAGCAGACTTCTATGGCCTTTACAGACTGCCAGGAATAGTGCAAATTGAGGCCACTTTAACTGTCCTGGCTCAGTGCTAAGGAATCATGGGAACTGTAGTTTATTGTGGCACCAAAAGCAAAGCAGCTTCATATACATATACCACTTCATATCGCGCTATGGGATGTCTAAGCAGTTTACAACTGTAAGCTCATTGCCCCCCAACAGTTGGGTAATCATTTTAGTGACCTCGGAAGGATGCAGGCCTGAGTCGAGCCTCAGCCCTGGCTGGTACTGAACTCACAACCTTGTGGTCTATGAGTGAGTGGCTGCAGTACCGGCATTTAACCACTATGCCACCAGGGCCCTCTGGCAGAGAAGGCTCAATGTCCCAGAAAAAAAAACAAAAAACAATTCCCATGATTCCCTAGCACTAAGCCAGGACAGTTAAAGTGGCCTCAATTTGCACCAAATATATATTTTAGCCCAATTCAGATTAAACTGGTGGAATTGAACACATCCCTTTCCTAAGCACATAAGGAATTCCAAAGTATTCCAAAGCAAGCCACAAAATCAAGCCCCTAAATGTGTGAGTCCAGTAGCTCAGAAGCTATATCCAGTTCACTTGAACAGAGGGTCAGATGAGAATTTCCTGTCAATTCCTTTTTCATCATCAAGAATGAATGGTTAATTCATAACAATGGATAACCAATATGGTCATTGACCAGAATAAAATGATTGATTGTGCTAACAATGGTTAGTAATCCCTCTATATTCTTTCACATCAGTTCTCAAATGGGGTTGCCATCTGTTTTCTGTTGACAGGCTTCTCATCTTTACTTTAACCCTTGTATTAGAGAGCCAATGTGGTGTAGTGGTTTGAATGTTGGACTACAACTCTGGAGACCAGGATTTGATTCCTGCTTAGCCATGAAACCCACTGAGTGACTTTGAGCAAGCCACATGCTCTCAGTCTCAGGAGAAGGCCGTGACAAACCTCCTCTGAACAAATATTGCTAAGAAAATCCCATGATAGGTTCACTTTAGGGTCCCCATAAGTCAGAAATGACTTGCACCACACAACACACACAACACATATGGCAAGCAAATACAAATGATCTACTTCTTCATGGAAATAGCTGTACCTAATACATCTGGCTGGTGGAAACCAGGGATAATTTCATTTCAGCTAGTGCTTGAAGGATTGATCAAAAGTCTGCAATTAGCATATCTAAAACATAGGAAAGCCTTAAATATTCCAGTATGAGGGGAGGAAACATAATTGACAAATTTCCATCACCCTACATGTGCCTGAACATGATGACAATATGGTACTCTAAGAACTGAAGTATCCAGATTACCAACCTTAGATAAAGTTTCTCTTTTTGTAAACCTATCAATGAACAGAATTACATAGCTGGAAAGTTACCAATTAATGATTTCCTCTAAATGTTCACAGAAAAGATATCTTTCCAATGTCTTTAGCATCCCTGACATTAGAGATGGGGATTTTTTTAAAAAAAAAATTGCTAGATCCACAGTCTCAATTAAAGCAGCCTTCTCACACCCCTGAAACTTTCTGCAAGAAGAAATGCACTTCACTTCAAGAATTTGTATATTTCTCAGACTAACTGAGCATTTCAAAGAAACAAAGCATACACAGTGTTGTTAAATGTGAAAATATATCTGAAAAAAACATGCACAAGCATGGGGGTGGATTCTGTATGAATCTGCAGGAACTAAAAAAAAAAAAAGTTTTGCAACCAATATAAAGGAAGAAGAAAGAAAATGTAGGTAAGATTCATGAAAACACAATTGAAACAGCTTAGGTTCCTGTTCCACCTTGTTTGGACAGCTTCCAAACAAAGGAAGGATGCTGCGCAAGCTCTCTAAAAGTAGCCAGTTCCATCAGTGAACTTTCACTTATGATGTTCTTGCTAACATGTAATCATTTAAAATCATATTCTGAATGGTAGCAATTTAACCACTTGAACCAAAAGCACAATCATCTCCATTTCTTGTTTTAAAAATATTAAGAATTCACTTTTTTGCACCTTTCCTTCTTGTTCCTTCTGCAGTCCAATATTTTCTCTACCCATTTTACCTTGTCAATGAAAGAGGCAAATTTGTTGTTGAGGGTCTTGATCTGTTCTCTCTCCTGTGTCCGAACCCTCTGGATATCAGGATCAACCTCCACACGAAGAGGAGCCAGTAGATTCTTGTTAACAACAACATTATGGATCCGTCCTGGTGCTGGTATGGGGCCTGGCCCTGAAACAGCATATCCTCCACCACCAAAGCCTCCAATGGGACTGCCAAGGCCAACACCACTGCCAAGGGCAATGCCACCTCCCAAGCCTGCACCACTGCCAAAGCCTGCACCACCTCCCAGACCTCCATAACCTGAGCTATAACTGCTGAATCCTAGACCATTACCCAAACTTCTTCCACCAAAACCTCCTGCAAAATAACCTCCACCTCCACCTGAAACTAGACCAATGGATATCCGTTTGCTTCCACCAAGGCTGTAGAGGCTTCTGCTGCCAAAGCCACCAGAGAAAGCTCCCGTTCCTCCAATTGGAACAATGGAAGTTGAGCTATTGCCCATTCTGAAGCCACTGCCTGAAACAGAGTAGCCCCTTCTTCCACCCATGGAGAAGGATCTGGAACTGAATTGCCGGTTCATTGTGACTTCTTGGGCAATGGTTATATGGAATAGGAACAGAAGAGCAGAGGCAGGAGGAGATTGAGAGCCCCCTGTGAAGTGGGACTGGGTAACTTCTCCTTATATGTGTTTGAGGTGTTGGGCTTGGTTGCATGAGAATGCAAAGATTAAGGCAGAATGTTTCATCAAGGGCTTGGCTTGCCTTCAAGCAATGAGTTCTCCAGTAACGGCTCAACCCCAGCAGCAAACGCGCAACACACCTATTACATCGTTTTCATTTTTCAAAATTGCTACCTTTGCAATCCTTGCTTGTTTGCATCTCTTTCATGTTAACCACTATCATGTTTGCTTTCTTCAAAGGGGTTTAATCTCAGGTGCACAAGACAAGATAGTGCAAGGGGATGTATTGTCCTTGACCAATCAGTAGTGTCATGTACAAAAAGATGTCTAAAATACAAGTCAAGATGAATGTTGCTCTACAGGAACTTTCATTTCAACAACTTTAGAATGAGATTCCCCCCCCCCCCCATGAGCCATCAAGAATAAGGGATTCAGAAAGATGTGTGTGTGTGGGGGGGCGTTATTAGCTTGTTTGCATATGCTCTATTAAATATATAAATAGTTCAACCAGATTAATTTTAAGGGTGGGGGAACCCACCATATTTAGAGCCACTACGTCAGTCGTCCTTGATCTGGCAGTGACCTTTAGATATCTTGGCCTTCAGCCTCAGTCAGCATGGCCAATGAACAGGCCATGTTGAGAACTGTACACTTTGTTGTTGTTGTTGTTGTTGTTGTTGTGTGCCTTCAAGTCATCCCTGAATTATGATGACTGACCCTAAGGTGAATCACCCACAGGGTTTCTTGCAAGATTTGTTCAGAGTTTGTCTTTGCTCTCTTCTCAGACTAGGACAGTATGTCTTGCCCAAGGTCACCCAGTGGGTTTCCGTGGCTGAGCAGGGATTCAAACCCTGTTCGGCAGAGCTATAGTCCAACACTTGAATCACTACACCACACTGCCTCCAAAACAATTGGAGGGGCCCAATTTGAGGAAATCTACTCTGCACAGATTGACCCTCCATGAGCCCACAAAGATTTGACCAGCATGCCAGTGAGAAATATTCAAATACTTACATGCTTCTCTTCATGGTATAGCATCACTGATACATTAGACCTGCTTCTTTGCAGATGTAAAAGTTTGATGTACCACATTATAATGTGGAATACCTCCATTCCCAAGGGGATTCCTAGTTTTAAATAGAAAGATCTGTTTTAAGGGTGAAGTATTTTGTGCTGTGTTCCTTCAGTGGAATGATTTTAGAAACACATTTTCAATAATGGATCCAGTTTCTATTCAAGATAGAAAGAAACCCTTCCCTTTAAAATATATATATATATTAATAAGCATTATCTGTTATTGGTACAATTCCTGCAGGAAATTATTTTGCAGAGGAATAAAATCCCTCCTCAAAGGTAAGGCTCCTCATAGAAATCAATAAAACCCTGTTTCCTATCTCTCTTGCTTAGTATGTGTGATCATTGTGATGTCTGCACATGCATGAAGAGGATGGCCCTATCATTAGGTAGAGCGAGGCACTCACCTTAGGCAACTGATGTTAAGGAGAAATAGTACCAACCCTTTGACTGTTCCTCCAGGATTCTCTGCTATTGTATTGCTGTAGGACAGAGTTGTGTATGCCATACAACCTATCCTAGTTCCCCTAAACTACTCTGATCCCTATTGGAAGTCATTCTCCTGTCCCTGGTATTGAAGCAAGAAGTAAGACTGGGCTGCCAATGCAGCCAAATACTGTGCTCAGAATGTGGAAGAGGGCCATTTTGCCCTTGCCTCAAATAGTAAGAAGTCTTGAGCCAGCTTGGCATACATCTCTGGCTGCTCTGGATGCTGGTGGAACCACTACTTTGGGGGCATTGAATCCACCTCTAATTTTACTGCTGGTCCCTCTACCACTGCTATGAGTTGTGTATGGAAACTCCCTCAGTGCTAAACCTTGCCCCTTCAGAGGTTCATCACCAGCAGGGCTCCCAGTCAAGATGTAGGTGAAGCAGCAGCAAAATCAAGAGTGGATTTGCCACTCCTGTGCCAGCAGATTCACTGGCCACCACCAGTGATGCTGAAGAGGGAAGGAGGGAGGGAACATGTGTATTTTACCTGCATGAAGAAAGATCCACAGCGTAGCTATTTCATGCCATTAGGAGTAAACATATTTAGAGTTTTGAAAAATCTGGAACAAGAAGGGGAATGTGAAGCAAAATCTAGACATGGGCTACCATTCTTGATCAAGTGGTTGTTTGGCTTTGAAACTCTTCTACTTCCCCAGAATGCAGAGTGCTTGCACAGACGCATAGTCAGTCAGCCACAAGACCAGCAGCCAAGGTGCAATAAAGTACATAATTTTAAACACCTTCTGCATACTTCATGGTCATCTGAATCCATCCTTTCCAATGACAGAATGGTCAGCTTTGTATATGACACCAGTATAGAATAGTGAGTGGCATTGTGAGTCGCTTTCAACCCATTGTTGTTGTTGTGTGCCTTCAAGTCATTTCTGACCTATGGTAACCATAAGGTGACCCTATCATGGAGTTTTCTTGGCAAAATTTGTTCAGAGGAGGTTTGCCATTGCCTTCTCCTGAGGCTGAGAGCATGTGACTTGCCCAAGGTCACCCAGTGGGTTTCATGGCCGAGCTGGGAATCAAACCCTGGTCTACAGAGTCATAGTCTAATGCTCAAACCACTATGCCATGCTAGCTCAATCTTACTTTAGAATTATTGGAAAGGACAAAGAATTTGTCTAGGATAACAAAATGTACACTGATTGTGGCTAGTCTCTCTTAGGCCCTATCTGCACAGGCCAGAATACTCTGGGAGCTGCCCCAATGTCCCCTTGTTACATGGGAATTCCCATTGGGACACCAGGTGACGGTTCTCATGCACATCCTGCTGTGCCACCCATTGCAGCTGCCACCACAGTAGGCCTTTGCAGACTGCTAGAAATAGTGCAAATTGAGTCCACTTTAAGGGTTAGGGTTAGGGTTAGGGAATCATGGGAACTGTATTTTATTGTGGCACCAGAGCTCTCTGACAGAGAAGCCTTAATGTCTCAGAAAAAAAAAAACAGTTCCCATGATTCCCTAGCACTAACCCTAACCCTTAAAGTGGACTCAATTTGCACTATTTCTGGTAGTCTGCAAAGGTCCTAAGTCACCTAACCTAATGTCAAAATGAGGCACCCAGTATCAATCATATGGCTTGGCACCTCATTCTGACCTCAGAGTGAGTGACTTGCCACTGCAGCAGCCAAACAGTGGGATATGTTGCAAACAGTGTCACAATGAAGGGCTCCAGATCTCCTGGAAAGATCCAGAGCAAAAGGTGAGTTCTTTTAATCCATTGTGCGGCAGGGGGGTGGGGGTGGGGAATACCCTGGATTCAGCACTGAACTGGCAGGACATTTTCCAGACTGTTTGCACCAGAACTGGACCATGCATTCTCTAGATGCACAGAGTTCACCAGAGTTCATTACTAGAAAGCCAGAGGGATGCAGCACTTTGTAATAAATAAATGGGTCTTGGGCTGAAGTTTGGGCATGGTCTCTAAAAGGTTCACTATCACTGCTCTAGATTTCTTGATGAATGCTTTCTAGAAGAATGCTTAGTCCATTGTGTTGTTGACCCTACCAGATTATGGAAAGTGTGAAGGCAAAAAATTCTCTGTGTGAACAGTTTTGCAAACACTAAGGAGAAAATTAGTAGAAAAATGAAAATTCAGAACACAATGTATTACAGGGGCAGGAAGCCAGTGATCCTACACATGTTGGACTCCCATCAACTGGAGCCAGCATATCCCATGGTAGGGACTGGAGAAATGGCACTACAACAATGTATAAAGGACCACAGGTTCCCTACCACTGATTTACCACTGTTCCCTATGTGCCTCTCTCTAGACTCCACATGCCTTCTACTGTGGTTGGTATGCTGACAAGGAATTGGTAAGAGAGATGGAGACAGAAATAGAGGAAGGGAGGAAGAGAAGGGGTGAAACTTTGTTTCATTCACATATGGGCTTTGTGTGTTTTCCAATTATAGGGAAAGGGGGGTAGTCAAAGCTAGGTTGATCATTCAAAGACATCTCAAGTGCAAACATACATGAATTAGCATAAACATCCATAATTTGCCCACCCTGGTTGTGCCCACTCTGAGGTCATGCACTGCCCTTGGGGGAGAGGTGTGGAATACATGTGCCCACCTGTAACATTTGCAGCTGCAGAAGTTAAATCCTAGCTCAGGAATACAACTTGCCAAAGGAATCAAGCTGAAGCAGGGGTGGACACCTTATGTCCCTCCAGATATTTTAAGGCTACAACTTCCATCAGACCTAACCAGCAAAGCTAGAAGTGAGGGATGGTAGAACTTTCAATCTACCACCATCTGGAGGCCCACTTGTTTTGCATGCCCTAGTCTCAGAGGGAATCAGTCTCAGGCATGACGTGACATGTCTCATATGTTTTCTTTCTGTCTGTTTAAATTACTAATATTCAGCATCCTGAACATTCAGTGCATTAAATGGCAAATATAACTCAAGTAAGGGCAAATGTCAGGCTTGCATTATGCCATCCACATTTTTCTAGAACCCTAAAACCCAACTGGAGTATAGTACCAAAGATATAACCTTTGAATTTCAAGTTGGCAGTTCTAAAACAATTCCTAGGCTTTAGTGAAACCTTCACTTATGTCATGCTCAAGTGCAAGAAAAAATTTCAAAAGCTTTCACATCATGAGTGACATTATGAGAAGTTTTGTGAATTGTTCAATGATTATTCACATTTAGGGACTTTGTAGGAGGACATTTATGCAAACCAAACCAAACCAAAAGCCAAACCAAAACTGTCAAACCTTGTTTTCCATACACTCCAACATTTCACAGGTGAAAACTGGGATCCCAATAGCCAAGTAACATAAAAGTGTGGTTAAGGTGGTGAAAGTTATTTATGAGGAAGAACAGGCAAGCTAGGAAAAACTGAAGCTTTATGCTTTTGCTTGAGTCTACTGGGAAGGGTAACTCTCTGGCCCCTTGTCAGAATCCATATGCATGGTTCTGTCATGATATTATGATATTAAGGAATGAAGATACGAGGACATGGTGGCATGGTGATATAACACTGTATAGTATGTGGGCTGTTGAGAAAGGGCTATCAATTATGCTAAATTCAAGACTGGGAGACAATAGATGGTCAGCAGTGGAAAGGAGTTGTAGTTTATGACCCCAACCTTCTTGCCATAGAGCAGAGCTATGAAACAAGGATGACTTTCTTCCTGAAGGGAGATTTAAAGATAGGACATGAGAGGGGAAGAGGGAAACATGAAGGGCCCTTTGATCTGGATCAAAGTGAAATGATTAAGGTTGGAAAGGGGGGTGGGATGTTGGAGGATGAAAAAGTATTTCTGCTGGTCCAAGGGTTTTTTTCTTTAGTTCTAACACTGAACCGGGATGGGGGAACTATCTGTCTAAATATCCAGAATAAATTTCTAGTTTCTATTACACTACAATGCTGTTGGTTACTGGGAACTGGGTCCTCCAGTACTGACACCCCTCCTCTCTTTTCCCAAATGCCTATTTAACTGAGTGTAAAGAGTTTTTGCATTTTGTATTCAGTTTGCAGCACTGACATAATTGGGGACAAAGGGGGAAATTGGAAGGAGGAGAGGAGAACCAGAACATTTTAAAAGTAGCTGAAAAAGTGAAATGATCAAGCTGTGTTGTTGAACCTATGGCATGCATGCCAGAGATGGCATGTAAAACCATTTCCCCAGCATGTGGAGTGGGGAAGAGGAGGGAAAAGGTGCAGACCTGTTCCTCCTCCTTCTGGCTGCCCCAGGCCTTCAGCTTTTTCCAGAAAAGCAGCTGAAAGCCTGAGAAGCTGTGGGGGATGAGGAGGAACAGGTGTATGCCTGCTCCTCCTCCTCCCAGGCCTTCAGCTGCCTCCAGAGAGGCAGCTG